TCCCCACTGTTTTATTCATTTGAATTTCAGCGCAGACATCACACACTGCTCAAGCATTATATCTATTATTTCACATTACAACGAAATTTACTATAATAATTAAACATTTCTTCTTTCCTATCACTGCACACAGACACGGGAAATAACGTATAACCTAAAATACACGGTACAAATGTAAATTACCATCAAACATAATAATAGTATTTCACAAACATCTACAGACAATACAGCATCCAGGTCACACACAACACTACAGACCTAGTATAGCCTATGCACAAAATACAACCACACAATTACATGTATACATAGATACACATGATATATAATTTAACACAATAGGTTTATATTATATTATAGCCTATATTATAATATACTGTGATTGTGCCAGCTCATTTCACATCACTTGTCTCTTTCTTTTTGTTAATCCTCCTTCCTTACAAACACTCAGCTCAAATAGGTTTTATTTACATGCTCACCTTATATTATATTATATATTAGAGAAAAATATATAAAATGATTCCCAATAAAAGCCACAAAATGAGCAGACAGGGGGAGCAGCCCTGCTCTCCAGCCACAGGCCCTGAGCTGCAGCAGAGGGAAATGATAATATTGTGTAGAGCTCTGAGGAAACATAAGCTCAGTGTATGTCAGTGTCAACAGCTCGAGCAGCACCATCATTAATTCATCTTTAAACCGAGACAATATACATTTTTATTATTGGCTCGATTTTCAAAGGGGTGGAAATAAATATTTTGCCCTCTTCCTAATTTCCCCTGCAGAAGTTTGATTTCTGCACACATGCTCTGATTTATTCACCCCCAGTTTTTTTTTATTTTCTCGCTGTGCAGCACTATTATTTTGCTGCCACTTAACCTCACATTCCTCATAAAATTTTAATCTGAACTTGAAAACACCTGAACACAGCCCGTCCCCGTCTGCTCCTACAAACACCTCCCGCAGAAGGAGCACCACGAGAAGCGACGAGTCCAGAAACCGCCCCCCCCCCCAGAAAAAAAAACACTGGTTATACTCACAAATCCGTGTTTGTCTGAGATGTTGTTGGTCAGTTTGAGTTTATGGAAAGCAACAGGCTTGGCCATCCACTGCTCGCCGGTGGCCGGGCTGTCCGGGTGGATGTACATCCTCTTGGGCATCTCCGGGTCGGCCTTGCCCGCCACCATCCAGCGGGAGTTGTGGAACTTGTAGCGGCAGTCGTCCGCCGCCACGATGTCCATCAGCAGGATGTATTTGGCTTTTTTATCGAGGCCGTTTATTCGCACTTTGAACGGGGGGAACATCCTCCTGCACGGACACACACACACAGACACACACACGAGGAGTCAACACGCAGTGATTCAAACAGAACAGCACATCAGAGTTTGACAAAAGACGCAGTGAGGGCGCAGGAAAAAAACACGACGCTCCGACAAGTGGAAATATTGTAATTGTCAGAAATTATTCTCCAGTCGTTGCACGCAATTAGGCCCCAGAGTGTAGTGTGTGTGTGTGTGTGTGTTGTCTCTGTCAGCCTGTGTGTGTTTGTGTGTGTGTGTGTGTGTTGTCCAAGCCTACACTCCAAAGCTGAGTCTTATATTTATGGGCACGTTGGTGCTTTTTGAAGTGACAGTGTGTTTATAAAAACCAGAAGCTGCAGTTTGAGAGATAAAACTACAGCTCGGCTCAAGTTTCCCCCCAAAAAAATACCACAAATATTTCCCTCGATCAGTTTGAACAAACATCACAAATATCCAGAAATATCACGGAGCTTAATTCACAAGAGAAGCCAGCAACATTCTGGGCAGGACCTCCAGTCAAAGTCGATATTTTTATTGCATGATACGAGGTGGAGATATATCATCGTTGTGTGTTTTTATTCCTGCAGATCAGACTAATAATCGCTGGTGGAATACAGCGAAGGCCCTGGCGCACAAGCTGCCATTGAATCACCCGAGTAAAGGGATTTTTTAGCTGCTCTAAACTTGTCCTATGTTTTTTTTAATCTCTGCACATATGCAGACAAATGTCCGGCTGCTTGTGCAAAATATTAAAAAAAATAAAAAAAGATTATAGTTCTGGCTGATTCTTACCTTCCGGACTTGGTAATAACCATCTCCGTCCCGAGTTTATGAAACTGGTCCCAAAGATCCTTGGCTTCCAGTGTAACTTTGGGGTCGTCGTCCACCTCCTCCTCGGGCTCCAGGCTCTTCATGCTGCGGAGATGAGCCGCCTGATGGTGGCTGAGGGCCGGGTGGAGCGCAGCCTCCGCCGCCCCGGCCAGGCCGTGGTCCGAGATGGGCTTGGTGAGCGCCCCGGGAGGCAGGCTGAGCGCCGGGAAGAAGGAAGGCTGCGCGGCCGCGAGGAAGGCGGACATGGGGAAGTCGGTCGGCCGGTGTGCGTGGAAAGGGTGATATGCCATTGCAGTCCCTGTGAAAACTGGATCTCTCATCGGTGCATCCACAAAAAACAAGTGAAATAATGGATATTTTAGTGGTATTTCCCCCGACCTGGAGCCGGTGTAGGTCCGCGCTTGGCGAGCAGTTAATGTGTGTGAAGCCGCACAGAGGAGCACGGCCGCTTTGTCACAACGCGTAACCGGAGTGGAGACAAAACAGCCCGGAGTTGTTGTCAGCGCGTTTCTTCCCTTTGGTTCCTCCGCCGAGTCCCTCAGTGTGAGCGGCGCTGTGCGCGGAGAGCGCGGCTTGGAGCTGTGCCTCTTAGAGAAACGAGCTGTGCTTCAGTCATCCCACACTGACTGGAGAGATGTGGCCCCGTTCACTGCAGATCTGTGACTATCTCACATGTCCTTCCTGCCTCCATCCCCAACACTAATGAACCAAGCCCCTTTGATTGCTGATTTTACGCTTTCTGGACCAATTGTGGGCCCCTATAGGCGTGGTTCTGACAGCTCCGGCCAGACTCTAGGAGAGGAGGGGGGGACAAGAAGGTGTCGGAAGCATTAGCAGTAAGAAAACATGTCAACAGGATAAAATATTAACCAATGACAGGAAAGATCGGGAAATCCCACCCCCATTTCCAAGCCAAACACCGGGTCAGCCCTCAGTTCTTGGCCGGTGGAGGCATCACCTCTCTCGGCTTGCGTTTTTACAATGTCGCCTCCGGAGAAAGCAACCTGTCCACTGTCCTAAAACTCACCTTTATAGAGAGGAGCAGCTCCACTTCTCCACCTCTCCACCCCTGTCTGTCAGAACAGCCCAGCACAGTCACTCCTCCACCCGCAGCTCATGCGCTACAGTCCGGACATGCTTCCAAAGAGCCGCTCTCTCTCCCTCTGCCTCTCGGTCTCTCTATAACAACAGACTCGTAATCATTCCAAGTTCTCGGCTGTTCTGACGCTGGCCCGGGCTCCGTTAGCGGCGTGTAGCTCACACAGCCCCGGGTTCCTCAGATATCTGTGCGCGGCGCTGATCGGGCTGACGGGGGAGCAGCGGCCGCGGCAGCAGCAGCCTCAGCGGCGGCGGCGGCAGCGTCACAGAGCCGGGGCTGGAAAACACAAAGCCAGCTGCTGCGTGGAGGGAAAAACCAGATGAATGATGATGAATGAATTCTGAGAGAAAACTCAGGGAGAAGGAGAAGCGGTGAGTGCTCACTTCTCTTCCTTGTTTGGCTGCAAACAAAGTTTTATTTCTCTGCCAGACTCCGTGGCACAGCTCGATCTGTATTTGGGTTGAAGGAGCTTAAATAATGGAGTGTGTTACAGGTTTTATTATATTATTCTGCAGGGCTGTGTGACTCTGGAGTTTTCCCTGGTGTGTGTAGTTTGTTTCCACATCGCACACGCAGCGATGACATGATTTAGTGCTCAGTGGAGGACCGGCAGGGCCGTGGTGCCGTGTGATCTCCGGCAGGTTGGACTTAGTCAGACCGGGCACGGTGCGGGACTCCTGCGAGGGGGTGGTGGAGGAGGAGGAGGTGGTGGGGGGGCTCCTCCAGTCTCCAGCTTCGCTCCTCCAGAGGAATCCAGCGCCGCAGCTCCTGATGAACACGGACTCGGTTTGTTGAAGAGCCGCTCGGCGCCAGTCGGCTGATGCGTCACAATAAGAACAGTCTCTTGTCTCTTTCTATTTACCCTGAAGTCCTGCATGTGTGAGCGCCTCCGGCCTCTCAGCAGCCTCATCCGCGGCCCCGCTCCACCTCCTCCGCCTCAGTCATTACTCCGTGTCCGATGCGAAGTGGGTTTTTTTTCCTGGGGTAAGCAGCTGCTCTCTCCGGGCAGGACGAACCGTGTGGTCGGCCACAGGCGTCATCTCAACTAAAACTGAAACAAAAGTGATAATCCGTCTGAATGACACTGTCTGAGACAGTCACGCATTTCCTTACTAACCCATGTAACTCAGCCCTGCTGGCTATAAAACTGTCTCCAATTATATATTTAAAACCCTTATTACTAAAAAACATATCATCTATTCAACGGTTACATAAAACACAGAGTGAAAACTCAAATTTACGCACTGCTCCAAAAATATAAAGCTGCAAAAAATAATAAATAATATTAAAAATGAGATTCTTACATGCGACCCAGAAACACCTCCCCCCCAGAGAGTCTGAGCAGCGCGCACTCGTGTGTCAGACACAGCACGTTATGTGATTTAAGACCATGAAATGTTTGCACATCTCCACTTTGTTACACACTTGTTGCTCGGCTTCCATCAGATTGATACAGCCATGCGTAAAGAGCGCAGGCCGGGGCAGGGAGCAGGCGCAGCTGCAAACATAACATGGCGCAGTGCAACCTCTGTGAACACAGAGTGTTCCAGGCCCAGCACGCATCACATACACACAGACACCGGTACCTCTTCCTCGCAGAGTCCTCACCGGCAGCAGCCACAGTGCACCGCCACACCGCGAGGAAGTGTGTTTTCCATCCAGGTGTGTGAGCAGCAGCTGCACGTGAGAAATGTCACATCCGGAAGAATGTTTTTACGCACACACGCAGGTTCCTTCAGATGCGCGTTGTGGTTTTGCATCTGTGATAATTCGCTCGGACAGCTGACTTGTTTGGAATCCTGCAACTTGAGATTTGTGAAATGACAGGGAGCGCGGCTGCAGCAGCGGCGGCTTGTCAGACGTCTGGAGCCGCGTGCACTGAGCTTTACATGGGACAGAAAACAGATTAGCAGCATATGGAGGTGGATAACAGTTTTTCAACCGGAATACTCAACTGGATAATTGTATCAATAATGCTCGTGCAAATTACTCACCATTTATTTGTTCTGTGCCCTCAGCGGTACAGAAATCTCAATTACGCGCGATTTAAAAGTCATTAGGTGGAAGGAGGACTGGGCTGCTGCTACATACATGGAGGGAGCAGTGTACTGACAGATTAACAGAGGCCTATGCTTTGTGTCGGGGAAACAGACACATGAACATTCGCTGCTTGGGCTTTGTTTTGGTGAGAAGAGAGCAACAAGGAGTGGGAAAGAAAGTGCGCAAAATGAAGTTTGGAAACGTTCAAAGTTTTGGTTTTACTCCTTGACTTTTTCCTACGTTGCTAATTGAATAACAAACACATCAATTAATTCATACTGACATTTTTAATTATCTAAACCCCAGAAAGAGGTTAAACTGAAATAGTTTAAGGAGGCCTATAGATTTGAGACATGGGCTCTGAGGTTGTGAAGCGAACGAAGTGCTGGCACGGCGCGTCTCACACACCGGGAAGTTCACTGAAGTTTGTCAGTGTCCTTGACGCGTCCTCTCAGAACAACACAACACAGGTGCACATGTGAAAATGCGCGTCAACGGCGTCTCTGCTTGTGATTTGGCCGCAGTGTCAGTGATCCGAGCCAGAGACGCTCTAATTACAACAGAACGGGACACTTTTCACCATATTCGTCTATAATTGAGTATTGTTATTTTCTTCTTCCCCTCGACATTGTTCCTTTCTTCCTTTCATCGCTCCATCTTCTCCTCCCATCTCCCTGCATCATCTCTCCGGCTATATTTAGCGGCTAGACTGAGGCCTTGGCGCCAGACCGTTTAAGACCTGTCAAAGTCCCTCATATTTCCCCTTGTCACATGGAAACCCGGCGACCAGCGGCCCTCTCCTCCTCCTCCTCCTCCTCCTCCTCCTCTTCTCCTCCTCCTTTTCTCTTTTCCTCCTCCTCCTCTCTGTGCTGCAACTACTGGCAGCCCTCCTCCTCCTCCTCCTCCTCTCCTTCATCTCCTCCACTTCCCCCAACTCCTACAGTTCACTCTGCTAAATTA